TTGGGTCAGTTTGGGTCAGCTGTCACGGCTGTGTCAGCTCCCAGCTTCTAGTGCAGCCCCAGCCTGCTCACAGTTGGGGCAGCGTGAGAAACAGAGAAGGCCTTGAGGCTGTGTAAGCACCCTTCAGCAGTAGCTAAAACATCTGGGTGTTATCAACACTGTTTTGGTCACAAATCCAAAACATAGCACCATGCAGGCTGCTATGAAGAAAATTAACTCTACCCCAGCCAAAACCAGTACATGATCCTAGGGGGAGAAATTGCTGTAGTTAAAAAGTGTGTCCCATGAGTTCTCCATGTCTGCCGGTTAGCAGAAGAGGGTTTTTTCCTGTTCTGAGTAAGTGGCTTGCATCTTATGCATCTCACTGACTTTTTGAGGTGATGATTGTTTTTCCATTTAAATGTAATCCTCCTTCCTTGGAGGCAGGTTAGGGCATCAAGGGCAATAGGGGAGACAAAAACCATGTGGGACAGACAATAGCCGTCAATTTGCTCCAAAGGCTTCACAGCTTATTTAGACGTACCTGTGATTATACAATTTACCAATGAGCCAATTCTCTGGAGTCGGCAAGCCATAAAGACCTACAGAAAATGCATTTTTACAATCAGTCTAAACCAATCTGTGTCCATGCTGCTGCTAACAGGGGCAGGTTCCCTCTCCTGGCAGCCCATTCCTGCAGCCTCCCTTATGTTAGCACCAGCATTTGTGCAGCCGTTCAGCCATATGGGTCAGGGCGTTGCTCCAAATGGCAATTAATCAGTTTGCAGTGGGATTTCTATTAGTGTGGGGTTTTTTTCAGGCTGATCATCTGTCTGATCAAGCTGACGGCCTATCTGCATGGGCACGAGCAGAGGGAGGGAGATGCTGTGACCAAGAAGGGATGGCTCCACTCCTTTCACAACAGTATGGATGTAGATCGGCATAATAAGTCTGTTGATTCTTTTGACAACAGAGTTGGTTTTTTTTGTGGGGATGATGTCATGTATCTTCGTATCTTTTGTAGTCAAATGGTAAATGTTGTGACTTTCAGCCCTAAATCGCACCATCCTAAGAATCTCCTCCAAAACTGTACTCACACATTTCCCAGAGAGCTTCCAACTCACATAGTGCTCTCGGTTTGCTGAGAAATATATGTGTGCAAAACAGAGTATGCAGTCAGATGCTCATTGCCCTGTCAGCCAAGAAACTATGTTCCTTCTTATAGATTTACAAATATATAAGCAATTTTTTAAAACAAAGTTAAATACCATAAGATAAGAAAATGAATTCATCAGCTAGATCACTTGGAGAATACCCTTATTTATCGTCTTGCCAATTAATATGTTTTTCTAGGAATGTGTTAAATTTCTTCTGTTTCCTTCCTGGTGCAGACTGCCTGCCATATTGATAGCTGTGTAGGACTAGTTTGTTTTTCAGGTCATAAACTGGTTGTCTATCTTTTTTAGTTCATAGAATACTTGTCACCCTACCACAGTGTTTAACTGGATATATGTTCACTTAATCTGTGACTTCCTCCTTTTTTTAACACAAATTTTCAGGCTCTTTGTCACAGCCTTCCTGAACTCTGAAATAGGGTTTCCAACCACTTTCTGTTTTGCTCATAAACTGCTGCTGTGAGCTGAGGTTCAGGCCATCTGTCATCAGCTTATGGCATCAAAAGCAGAGACAAATGAAAAAATCAATGAGATTCAGGAGCTTCCTATGTATTTTACTGGCAATGGCTAATTATTGCTGTTCATAGATATGCACATCTGCCTGGGTTCTTTCAGGGACAGATCTATATTTTTACCCATAATTTGGGTACCTTATGTACATCATAATTGTTACAGCGCTACGCTGGGAATAGTCATTGTGGAAAAACGATGGTATTTGTTAGGTGACCTGATAATGATGGTAAGTACGATTTGTTGCATTAATTGAACAGTTGTTATCACAGTAAATGTCACAGATAAATGTCACTGTGTGACCTGTGCAATGCTGAGCTACTTGCCTACCACTGGCCCTTTTTTAATTAATTGTTTCAATAGTCAGATTATTTTAGTAAACTTAAGTAGTTGTGGGATATAAAGTTCTACAAAGAAAGAATAATCATGTTGCTTATGTTTGATCTCCTGTTTGGTTTAAAAATAGTTCCTCTGTGTGAAGTATCAGAACTCTTGACACTTGCCTATTCCAAAGACATTTTCAGACAGACTAGGTGATCTTGGTTCTTTGGACCTGTGGAAAGAATATTCATAGTCTAATCTCGTAAGCAATGTGCAAAAATAAATAAAGATGTTTTTTTGGTGGAAGAGCTGCATTTATGAGTAAATACTAGGAACCGCTGAAACACACAATGCTAGCTTGAGGTTCTCTCCCTTTCTGCATTATTCTAGATAGACCATCGCTATAGTTTATGCAAGCCAATTAATTAGAAAAAATTACAAATAAGGTGTTGAAGAATGTCCCTTTGCCCTTAGGTTTCCTTCATGTTGAGATGCTGCGAACATCTGAAGAATTATTCAGGACACTACGGTGTCTAAAATAGGCTTTTTTGACAGGTGTTAAGGAGAAATGAGATAAGGTTAATCCATACAGCATGTCTGCTTACTGGAGATTGCTCTCTCTGACACATTGCTATTACTCTGGTGCTACAAAGGAAGAATATTTCGGTTGCTCATTATTAATTGTAAGTTAGCTATCAATTTACTGTAACCCACACAAAAACTCCAATAAAATATCTCCTCTTCTTGACCCAAATGCAGGAGTGATAGTCCAAAAGTGGAATTAGTGAGCAGTACAGTATCCGGCACTCTAGAGAAAGACTCCTCTGAAAGAAGCAATGACATCGGTAAGTTATAGTGCTTTTTATAGTTTGCCTAAGAAATTCATGGTGTAAATTTCTGCTTTTTAGTGACTTTGTTGCGATCCAAAAGGCAGATTGAGGATTTGGCAATGAATGTGAGTGCATTTATATCAAATTTTAACTGCAGGATTAAAGGATCATTTCTGCTTTACTTAAAGAAGTTTTGTTGGGGTTTTCTGTTTAAAAAAAAATTTTAAAAGGGAATATGGAATGGTGAGCTATTTTGAAGAGGAGGGCTCTTGTTCTTTCAGTTTAAAAGTCTGAAACACGTGAGAAGGCCAACCATAATAAGTCATACTAGTTTAACAGATGTAATATTAGTGCTGCCATATTTTTAATGCTGCAAAAGATTGTGGTTTTGGTGCAGTTAGTAATCTTTACACTTTCCAATACAAAGGAATAGAGACCCAATTCAGGCCAATTTGAATAAATCTTACTGCAAGCACCAATTAAAAGCAGTCTAAATTTCTCTTGAATATAATAATTTGTGTTCCTGCAACACAAACAGTTTAATCGGGAAATCACCTGGAAAGGAGTAGCGCTAGGTTATTTTTCTGTCTTCTCTCACCCTCCTTCCTTCTCAAGTTGGCAGTGCAGGAGCGATGTTTGCTGGGGTGCGTGCTGCAGTAAGTGGCACTTGGAAAGCAGGGTGCTCTGAGTCTTGTCCCAGGGCTGTAAGCAGAAGCAGCGACAGCCATCTTCTGCCGCTACTTAGAAATACGCTGGCGACAGCTGCTGCCGTCGCTCTCCTCTGCAGTCGCAGCTGTGCCGCGAGAGACCCGTTTTTGTAAAAGGCAGAACCAGGGTACCCTGAATGTGTAAGCATTACTGCCTTTCGCTGGTGGCATTAAATGTTATTTCGGTCTTTCTACCCAGACTGCTTTATTAGGAAAACATTTCTGTAAAATAGTATACTTTCAACAGCCAAACCTGCCTTTTCTTTGGACTTGAAAGCAGAGCTTTAAGTTATAGATGGATGTTAATTGCAATGTAAGAATAAAATGCTAAATTGATTTCACATAGGTTTATGAGCTTTTCAGCATTCATATGTCTGCTTTTTTTAACCTTCTGCTGTTGCTATGGCTTATGATAGTAACATTCTTCCAGAGAAGCAAGTAGTGTGTTTTTTCCAGTTCTTCATTTGGAATAAACGTAGAAAGTTAGAAGCTTGTGATAAATTGCATGAACATTTTTATTGTAGAGATTAATGTAAAGGAATGGGACTGAAATGCAGTCAAATTCTACCATTTAGCGTTTGTTACTCATGTTTACAAATTTGCTTCAAAGCATGTAAGCTTTTGCTTACTTTAAATTTAAAGAAAGCTATGACTGCAAATAGCGTATAGTGGTCTGATGGAAGTAAACTCTTTTAATCCTGGTGCTAGTTTCCTTGGAATCACTATCAGGATAAAAGCTTAGTGTGTTTTGTATTTTTCTGGGTTTTTTTTAACAACCTATAAAAGGCTAGGTAGGAAATTTGATTTATAATAATTTTTGCTCATTCCCAGAACTTAGGTGGGGGGTTTTTGTGTTGGTTTTTTTTAATGGACAATAGGAGCCAACAGGAGTCCATAAACCAAACCACATGCACAACATGTTGCAAAGGGTTTAGCTGATGACCTCCTGTTACCATTAACAAGGGGAACCTATTGAGCCCAAGGATAAAATAGTGTGAATACTTAGATAAGTATAACTTGATAGGGTCAAACCAGAATGGCATTTACAAGGGCAAATCATGTCATTCTAGCCTGTTAGACAACTCATTAAAAGAAAAAAATAAATCAGTGATGATTTTGGAATGAAAGTGGACCCAAAGATCATAACTGATAGGAATTTTCAGGAGGCTTTTGACAGCTCGTGTAAAATATTGTTAAAGAAATAAACAGCCTTTTAAGAGAGGGTAGAACAATAAATAAAAGCTTAGTAAGCCAAAACAAGTCTTTTACTATGAGGAGAGGTTTGGAGTTCAGGACAGTTTATAGGGCAGTGTAATTGGGAAGATTTATGATAAATGTATTAGATTTTTTATTTATTTACAAAGACAACAATGGGTTGGAGAAATCTTGTGGCTAAATGAGTTATTAGTAAAAATGATGGGGTGAGTGAGTGGAGTTCTCCCAGTGTATTGCAAAACTCACACGGGCAGTGTGAGTCCAGATAATATATAACTGTGGTATGTGTTACCGGTGTTGCCCCAGTCTCATGTACTCTATGGGGAGGACAGCCTCAGCTTCTCCAAGGTTCATTCTTCCAGTCAAAATGGATCTGAGTAAATATAGTCATTTGATGTCTTTTCACTAATCCAAGTTCACACCACGAATTAGAGTGGACCTATGTGACAGACAAGGTGGGGCTTAGCAGTAGCCTTTGAAGAAAAGGGAAGTTAAATGGCCTTCGCAGCGGCTCAGGTGTATGACCGTTCTGGTTACTGGGCTCCTCTTTATTCCTCCATTAGCCCCAACACCATTCTCAGGCACTTAGAGCTCTCGGGGAGGAGAGAGGAAAAAGCAGTAGTCAGTTGCAAGTTGCCTCACCCTCTTTCATGCTTATGCTAAGCACTGACGGTGAATCGTGGACCGAAAATGAATACTACAGCACTCTCCTGGCTTTTTTGCACTAGTGATGTTAAGCTGGATAATGGCTGTCATGTTCTCAGTGTTTAGGTCCTATAGCCAGTCTAAAGCTCTTGTTCTTTCATTCAAAGCAGAGAGATGTACAGAAGCACTGGAGAGACAGTTTTGGTTATAAAACAAACTATACTAAAGCTGGATGGAGAGCAGTTTTCCATTCGGTGAAACCTTTTTAAGGATTTCTAAGTTGGTTCCTTTTCTTTATCATGATGAGACCCAAACCTTTACGATGAGGGAGGAGAAGGGTCCTTCCATATGCCATCTCCCAAAAACCAAACAAGCGATCAGCAACAACAAAATCAGTAATTCCATCAACAATTGAGAAGCAGTATGCAGAGGGGAATTGGGGAATGCAGGCTCAAAACTTGTATTCTCTCTAGGTCCCCTATTGTACTAGGTCAATGTGTTAAACATTGCTTTTTTTCAGAAAAGGCATTCTACTATTTGTTTTCTAAGTAATTTTCCATCAGTGCAACAGTGTGATCTAACCAGAAAACCCCACACCTTTAAAGACATTCTCACCCAACTTTACCGATCAGGAAAGTCACAAATGCTTGAGCAAGGCTGAGGTGATGTGTAATACTGTGCATAACGTTCTGTCAGTTGCGTGTATAAAACGTTGGGTTTATGTAGATGTTAGCGCATGGCTTGATTTCACTAGCATGTTCTGCAGAGTTGTGACTTGACATTTAAATTTCTTGATGATAATACAGCACTGATTACAATTTTGCAATCTGTACTGACAAGTGCAAGTCCTGTTCAGCAACATCACTGCTGATTGTAGATATAATGGCAGCTGTTACTACTGTTGTTCATGCTTTTGCTTCTTTCCACAATTTTTACAAAAAAGCATTGGAAAACTAGCCTTCGGAATATATTATTTAAGAGAAACCATTCCCCATTTCTCCTCACTTCTTTTGTTTTCTTTTTCCCTGTTTTCAGTGATGCCTTTACTTTCCTTTCCACACATCTTTCATCCAGCTTTTCCTATTTACATCTCTTTGCCATGGGTAACACTTCTTCATTTCATGAGGGTAAGGCTTTTTTTTTTCCCGTTTCTTTTCTGTCCTGTCTTTGCTTAGTTGACAATGCGTAACAAACAAATACAAAAAGAAGTGTTTTGTACAACACCTAATGTGTGCAATGCTATTACAGATTTTTTTTTTAATTAAAATTTGAAGTTGAGTGTACTGTGACAGAACATCCCGCACCACAGCATTACAATAAGAAATCATTATAGTTTAGTTTATTTTACTGTAAGACATTTTAGTGATGGAAATGACATGTACAGTTTGCACGCGCTGGTTGTCAATACTGTGGTTTCATTAACCTGTTCTTACCGACAGATGGTGTCATCGCAAAGTTTAATGCCTGTATTTTGTTGTGATGTCCTTACATGTTACAAGACAAAAATATGTAGCAACATGCTAGGATAGTTCTCTAGTCTGAAAGAGGAAAAAAAACCCAACAAAACGAAACATAGGAGTTTGAAGAGCGCTCATTGGCTCTCAGTGGAACGTGCACGGTCATGTCACCCAAGGCTTTGTCTCCAGTGGTTAAATCACAGTCGTTATTGTGTAAAATAACATGTACATGTAACACGTAAGTTACATGTTGTAAAGTCTCATGTACTGTTCTGGACTGACAGTGGCTTTTTGAGCTTAGTTTAAAATGCTTCCAAAGCAACATAAGCTATGCTGAAAGGAAACCCTGTTCTACGAACAGAATAGTAGTCCTTGTGTAGAATTACACTGATTTCAACAGCTTAAATCCATGCCTTATTGCATAACTTGACTTTTTTTTAGGTTTTGTGTTTCTTTTTAATTTCACAAATAATTGTTATATCTGAGGGCCAGTGCAATGACAGAAACATCTAGCGCATATAATAGCTTACTGGATCAAAAACTAATGCTTCCAGAAAATTACTGAATTATTCCAATTAATTATTGGTATTGAGTTATTTCTGCAAGTCAGGATTAATAGTCTCATGTTTAACTATATATATATATATATATATATACACACACACATACTTTGGAATCCTGCAATCCTGAAACAAGACTTGTCTGTCCAAAATAGGCTTGCTTTGAAATCATCTAGCACTTAAAATCATATGGATTTAAGCTAAGTGATTTAAAGAATAAGCCACAAAGAAAGAAAAATAACATATCTACTGTGGAAATGCTCAGTTAATCCACACAAGAAGCAGTTTCTGTGCTTCGCAAAAAGACTGAGCTGCACAGGCACTTCCCACACAGAGCCAAGTGGACACATCTTTCCAATATTTTTCCTGGCTCTTTACACATTTTGCATGGTATTTATGAAAGCAGTTAATT